ATGTCTGATTAGGGTTTTAGGTCATCTGATCCAGAATATCTGACAGAATAGGATGGCCTGCCAGCTCCAGAACAGGGTACTACAAATGGCCAAGACCTGGCTGAAATGATGCCATGAAGACCACAGATGTTCACAATTATAACAGAACCATCAGGACAACAACACCAAATAGAACAAAAAAGACAACATGATAATGCAGACAACGACTAAACAGGACAACAAAAACAAATAGAACAACAAAGACAACATGATAATGAATACCACACATGGAAGTAGTGACAACAGGATGATGAAGACAACAAAACCAAAAAGTACAACAACAGACAACATGATAATGCAGACAACGACTAAGCAGGACAACAAAAACAAATAGCACAACAAAGACAACATGATAATGAATACCACACATGGAAGTAGTGACAACAGGATGATGAAGACAACAGAACAAACCAGCGCAACAACACCAGCACAACATCAAAGACAACAGTAAAATGAAGACCACAAATGATAAAAGAGATACCAGGATGATGAAGACAACAGAACAAACCAGCGCAACAACACCAGNGAACAAACCAGCGCAACAACACCAGCACAACATCAAAGACAACAGTAAAATGAAGACCTCAACAGATAAAAGAGACAACAGGATGATGAACACAACACAATAAAACAAGACAACAACAACAAATACAACAGTAAAATGAAGACCACAAATGATAAAAGAGATACCAGGATGATGAAGACAACAGAACAAAACAGGGCAACAGAACAAACACAACAACAAAGACAACCGTAAAAAGAAGACCACAAATGATAAAAGAGATACCAGGATGATGAAGACAACAGAACAAACCAGGGCAACAATACCAACACAACAACAAATACAACAGTAAAATTAAAAGGATGATAGAAACAACAGGATGATAAAGACAACATAACCAAACAGGACAACAACACTAAAGAAAACTGTAAAATGAAGACCACAAATGATAAAAGAGACAACAGGATGGTTAAGACAACAAAACATAACGGGACAACCACAACAAATACAACAACAAATTAAATACAACAGTAAAATGAAGACCACAAATAATCATCATGACAACATGATAATGAAGACAACAGAACAAAACAAAACAACAACAACAAATGCAACAGTACTATGAAGACCAGAAATGATAATCTGACATAAGGATAATAATGAAGACCAGAAAACCAAACAATGAAACAAGAACAATATAACAACAAATACAACAGTAAAATAAACAGGATGATAGAAACAACCGGATGATGAAGACGACGGAACAACAACAAATACAACCACAAAGACAACAATACTATCAAAACAACAAATGATTATAGTGACAACAGGATGATGAAGACAACAAAACCAAACAGTACAACAACAACAACAAAGACAGTAAAATGAAGACCACAAATGATAATAGAGACAACAGAATGATGAAGAGTACAGAACAAAATAGGGCAACAACACAAATACAGCAACAAGACAACAGTAAAATGAAGACCACAACTGATATTAGAGACAACTGGATGATGAAGAGTACAGAACAAAACAGGGCAACAACAACAAATACAGCAGAAAGAACAATGGTACCATAAAGACTACAGATGATAGTAGTGACAACAGGATGATGATGAAGGTGACAGAACCAAATAGGACAGCAACAACAAAGACATCGGGATCATGAAGACAATAGAACCTATACAACAACAACAACAAATACATACACAAAGACAACAGTAAAATTACCAGGATGATAGAAACAACCGGATGATGAAGACAACAGAACAACAACAAATACAACCACAAAGACAACAATACTACCAAAACAACAAATGATTATAGTGACAACAGGATGATGAAGACAACAAAACCAAAAAGTACAACAACAACAAAGACACAGTTAAATGAAGAACACAAATGATAAAAGAGACACAAGGATGATGAAGACAACAGAATCAAACAGGACAATCATACCAAAAAGAACAACGGAGACAACCTTTAAATGAAGATAACAAATGATATAAGGGATAACTGGATGATGAAGACAAACATAACCAAACAGGACAACAACAAAGACAACAACAAATACCACAAATTTTAACAGGATGATGAAGACAACAGAAAAAAATAACACAACAACAACAAAGACAACATTCAAATGAAGATAAATGTTATAAGGGACTACTGGATGATGATGACAACAGAACAAAACAAGGCAACAGCAATATATGCAGAAACAAAGACAACAGTTAAATGTAGACCACCAGGGATAAAAAAGACAATTAGGTGATGAAGACAACAGAACAAAACAGGTCAACAACACAAATACAACAACAAAGACAACAGTACTATGAAGACCACAACTGATATAAGAGACAACAGGATGATGAAGAGTACAGAACAAAACAGGGCAACAACACAAATACACAACAAAGATAACATTTAAATGAAGATAACAAATGATATAATGGACAACAGGATGATGAAGACAACAGAAAAAACAAGGCAAAACACCAAATACAACAGAAAAGACAATGGTACCAGAGAGATTACAGATGATAGTAGTGATAACAGAATCAACAAGACAACAACAACAAATAGAACAGTTAAATGAAGATAACAAATGATATAATGGACAACAGGATGATGAAGACAACAGAACCAAACGGGACAACAGCAACAAATGCAACAGTAAAATTAAAAGGATGGTAGAAACAACAGGATGATGAAGAAAACATAACCAAACAGGACAACAACAACATAGAAAACTGTAAAATGAAGACCACAACTGATAATAGACAACAGGATGATGATGAAGACAACAGAACATAATAGGACAACAACAAAGACAACATTTAAATGAAGACCACAACTGATAATAGAGACAACAAGATGATGAAGACAACAGAACAAAACAAGACAACAATAATCAAAACAACAACAAAGACAACAATACTATGAAGACCACAGATGATAATAATATCAACACAATGATGAAGACAACAGAACATAATAGGACAACAACACTAAATACAACAACAAAGACAACATTTGAATGAAGACCACAAATGATAATAGAGACAACAGGATGATGAAGACAACAGAACAAAACAAGACAACAATAAACAATACAACAACAAAGACAACAGTACCATGAAGACCACACATGATAATAGAGACAACACGCTGATGATGAAGACAACAGAACCAAACAAGGCAACAACACCAAATACAACAACAAACATCAACAGTACCATGCATACCACACATGATAATAGAGACAACACGATGATGATGAAGACAACAGAACCAAACATGGCAACAGTACCATGCATACCACACATGATAATAGAGACAACACGATGATGATGAAGACAACAGAACCAAACAAGGCAACAACAACAAAAACAACAACAAAGACACCAGTAAAACGAAGACCACAAAGTATAAAAGAGACAACAGGATGAAGACAACAGAATGAAACAGGGCAACAACACAAATACAACAACAAAGACAACAGTAAAATAAACATTATGATAGTGACAACAGGATGCAGAAAAAACAAACAAACAGGACAACAACAGCAAATGCAACAAGGAGAACAGTGTAATGAACATATTGTTAGTGACAACAGGATGAAGGAGAAAGAAACTAGGACAACAACAGCAAATAAAACAACAAGGAGAACAGTGTAATGAACATGATGATAGTGACAACAGAATGAAGAAAAACATTGTTAAAAATAAATATATTGCAATGTGTGTATGCAATGATATGTGTATGGGTATGAAAATGAAAAATAAATTGTAATGTGTGTATGCAATGATATATATGGATGCGTATGAAAATGGAAAAAAACAAGTTGTAATGTGTGTATGCAATGATATATATGTATTGGTATGAAAATGAAAAAAAAGTGTATGTAATGTTATATATGTGTGTGTATGAAAATGAAACAAAACGTAATGTGTGTATGCAATGTTATGTATGGGTATGAAAATGAAAAAGAAAATTGTAATGTGTGTATGCAATGTTATGTATGGGTATGAAAATGAAAAAAAAAATTGTAATGTGTTTATGCAATGTTATGTATGGATATGAAAATGGAAATAAAAAGTGTAATGTGTGTATGTAATGTTATATATGTATGGGTATGAAAATGAAACAAAATTGTAATGTGTGTATGCAATGATATATATGTATGGGTATGAAAATAAAAACAAAAAATTGTGTGTGATGTGTGTATGCAATGATATATATGTATGGGTATGAAAATGAAAACAAAAAATGTAATGTGTGTATGCAATGATATATAAGCATGGGTATGAAAATGACAAAAAAAAATTAATGTGTGTATGCAATGATATATAAGTATGGGTATGAAAATGGAAAAAAAAATTGTAATGTGTGTATGCAATGTTATGTATGGATATGAAAATGAAAAAAACCTAATTGTAATGTGTGCATGCAATAATATATATGTATGGGTATGAAAATGAAAACAAAAATTGTAATGTGTGTATGCAATGTTATGTATGGGTATGAAAATGAAAAAAAAAATTGTAATGTGTGTATGCAATGATATATATGGATGGGTATGAAAATGAAAAAAAACTAATTGTAATGTGTGTATGCAACGTTATGTATGGGAATGAAAATGAAAAAAAAAATTGTAATGTGTGTATGCAATGATATATATGGATGGGTATGAAAATGAAAAAAAACTAATTGTAATGTGTGTATGCAACGTTATGTATGGGTATGAAAATGAAAAAAAAAATTGTAATGTGTGTATGCAATGTTATGTATGGGTATGAAAATGAAAAAAAAATTGTAATGTGTGTATGCAAAGATATATATGTATGGGTATGAAAATGAAAAAAAAAATTGTAATGTGGGTATGCAATGTTATGTATGGGTATGAAAATGAAAAAAAAAACTAATTGTAATGTGTGTATGCAATGTTATGTATGGGTATGAAAATGAAAAAAAACCTAATTGTAATGTGTGTATGCAATGTTATGTATGTGTATGAAAGTGAAAAGATAATTGTAATGTGTTATATATATATGTATGTGTATGTTTGTATTTATGTAAAACAATAATTGTAAAATGTATTGTTCATGTCAATGAATATGAATAGAAGAAAGAACTAAAATCTTTTGTCTGAATTGTTCTTCACAGCCGCATATAAGGACCAAGTGAGCTATTGACGTGCCATGGCATCCGTCGTCAGTCTGTCAACTTCTTCTTTAAAGGACTTCTTCTCAAGGTACTGGTCATATTTAGATCAGACGTGTTGCAAATGTTTATCTCACAGCCCTGAACAAGTATTGTTCCTTTTTGGCTTGTTTTGGAGTCCAAAATGTCCACCATGACCTCTGAATGGTTGACACATTTTAAAATTCTTTTCCAGTTTTACTTGTCAGATTTAGATCAGACATGGTACAAATGTTTGAACAAGTGGGCCCATAGTCCGAATTATTCTGACATTTTATCGACTTTTTTATATCGGTCTGTCGTCGGTTAATCGACGACAGACCGATATAAAAAAGTCGATAAAACGTCAGAATAATTCGGACTAGTGGGCCCAAAGTGAGCTAATGTCATGGTGCATTTCCGTCGTCTGTGTGTACATCCTGCATAAATGTTTTCTTTAAAAGACTTCACAAATATTCCAGATCAGATGTCAAATTTGTCAAAGAAACTATTAGAAGAAATCTTCTGGATAACCAAACAGCCTAGGTTGATGTTGTTTAGCTAGTAGGATGCTGGGATGAAGGGCTATTAAGTTTGTTCAAATGAATGACCTTTGACAATATTCAAGGTTACAGGAGGCAACTTTGTTGAAAACTATTATATTGCTACTTCTGAAGGTCAGCATATTCTGTAGGTAGGTCAGCTAAGCTATGGTAATGTATCTGTAGGTAGGTCAGCTAAGCTATGGTAATGTATATGTAGGTCAGCTAAGCTATGGTAATGTATGTAGGTAAGCTAAGCTATGGTAATGTATCTGTAGGTAGGGAAAACTATTATATTGCTACTTCTGAAGGTCAGCATATTCTGTAGGTAGGTCAGCTAAGCTATGGTAATGTATTGGTCAGCTAAGCTATGGTAATGTATCTGTAGGTAGGGCAGCTAAGCTATGGTAATGTATCTGTAGGTAGGCCAGCTAAGCTATGGTTATGTATCTGTAGGTAGGGCAGCTAAGCTATGGTAATGTATAGGTCAGCTAAGCTATGGTAATGTATCTCTAGGTAGGTCAGCTAAGCTATGGTAATGTATCTACAGGTAGGTCAGCTAAGCTATGGTAATGTATGTAGGTAAGCTAAGCTATGGTAATGTATCTGTAGGTATGTCAGCTAAGCTATGGGAATGTCTAGGTCAGCTAAGCTATGGTAATGTATCTGTAGGTATGTCAGCTAAGCTATGGGAATGTCTAGGTCAGCTAAGCTATGGTAATGTATCTGCAGGTAGGTCAGCTAAGCTATGGTTATGTATCTGTAGCTAGGTCAGCTAAGCTATGGTAATGTATAGGTCAGCTAAGCTATTGTAATGTATCTGTAGGTAGGTCAGCTAAGTTATGGGAATGTATCTGTAGGTAGGTCAGCTAAGCTATGGTAATGTATCTAC